GTCTACTGTAGCCCTGCTTCATCTTCTATAATGCTTCGTCCGTGTAGCACTCCCATAATGTCAACCTTTTTCTGTGGTCACTTAATAGCACGTGCCATGTCACGAATTGTCACACGTCACCTTGTGTCACACTACGTCGCTGGTCCGGTTCTCCCGGATTCCGCTCCGAGTTTTAGATAGTTGCCATGTCATTCTCTCTAATTCGCACATACGCCCCTACAGTCGGTTCAGGACGGCGAGCATCATCTGGAATTGCTCTCAAATACGCCAATGCTGCTTATTCGGCTGCGCTCGCCAAATCACCGCAGGTCCTGACGAAGGTCCAAACCGAGCTCAACGCCATTTCCAAGTCCATTGAGGACATCCCAAACCTCAAGAACTTTGTCACGAATCCCACACTTTCTGCCAAAGATCGAATGGCGGGTCTTCCCTCCCTCTTTGCGCGCGCGGAGGGTACAGGGGCAAAGAAGGAACCCGTCTCAGACATCACGAAGAATCTTTTCGCCTTGCTGTCGGAGAATGGACGGTTGGTAGAAACGGCAGGAGTTATAGAAGGATTCAATGAGTTGGTGGCCAAGCACAGAGGCGAACTCGAAGTCATTGTCACCTCGGCTTCCCCTCTCGGAAAAGATGTCTTGTTCCGCCTGGAAGCCACACTGAAGCAATCCCAAACTGCGCAACAGGCGAAGTCGTTGAAGCTGACAAACAAAGTACGCTACGATAGCTTGCGCAATTAACGACGACCAGCTGATGTTACTTAGGTGAACCCTTCAGTACTGGGTGGTCTGATAGTCGATTTTGGAGAGAAGACCGTCGACCTCAGTATTTCTTCGCGCATTAACAAGTTCAACAACCTTCTTCAAGGTCGGTGTCGAGTTTGATTTTGCGTCATGCCTTTTATTGGAAACTCATGCGCTACCTCGAATAGAATCCGTTTGAAGCACCGTAGCTTGGGGATAGTCGATAGAGTACACCACAAAATATACATCCGACTTCGTTTTACCAGACGGGTCAGTCATGTGACCTTAGGCCTGTCGCGTCGAGTGCCTCATCAGATACGTTGTATTGTATGCTTGAAAGCAAACTACATCCTCTCTACATCCCCTACCTTTGCTGCTTTTTCGAATAAGTTCAATGTGTGCGCATCGCCGTGAGCCGTCGACACTCCCAAGATGGGAGACATTATCTGGTTGGTTTGGTATTGTGCACTGGGCACCTCACGAGCCGACATTCGGTTGACCTCTAGAATTAGAACCAAAATCGTCAAACGGTGGGAGCCCTTCTACATCAGAAAACGTGGATGTAGTTCCTATCGGTTCTCCATCCAAGCGTAAAGCCTCTCTATCCCCACAAGGGTCTCCACAACCCCACAAGTCCTCTCGCACCGACATGCGCTATTTTCCTGGAATTTCACGCACGCAAGAGCCTTTTGAAGCTCGTACAAGCCCCACTTCCCATATTATTAAGAAGAAAAGAAAAGTATTGCTGACGCGGAATCGTGAACTCTTGCACTCGTTAATTAAAGCTGGCTCTGGTACGTTCAATATACTGTCACTGGATGTGTGTCCGTGGTTGATTGTCTCAGGTGATTTGAAGCAAACCCTGCCACGCACCGCAGGTCGTAGCTCTGAAGGTTAGTTAGCCAGTCTCGGCTCATCGCTTACTATCTAGCCCCAATGTAAAAGCTGAGAATGGGTATTTTCTTTCAAGCCGCTCAAATCATACGGTCTGGAAACCGTCACGAGATCATTGAGTTATCCTCAGATGATGATAAACCGCCTCCCGGAAATGCAAGCAATCCAATTGTCCTTGACAGCGATGACGAGGCGGCGCATGGAGCGTCTTCCGTTTCTTTGTTAATGGGTGATTCTCAGTCTATTTCCCCGCGTAAAGATTCTCGTTCCATGTCCCCGTCCGCCTCGAACCACTTGGTATATCCATATTCCCATGCTTTTCAAAGCAGAAGGTCTCCCTCAGCCGTCTCTGAAACAAGGGAGATGAATACGCCCTTGGTTCGCGAGACATTCTCTCCAGGTGAAAACGTGATTGTAGATGAGCTGCCACCCCCGAGGCAGTTTCAGAATACAGAGCCGCCAACCAGCTCAGAAAGCACCGCTATTGCCACGCCCGGACATGGACCTCGTGGCACCCATTGATCAACTCGCCATTGCCAACGCCAACACTGAGGAAATGCCATCGCTTGCTCAAAGTGGCTCCAAGGTCGCGGACGAGGTATTGAATACAGTTTCAAAGCCAGTGTTCGAGGGGTCGTCCCCGGTGGCGGCCTCCCTACCTCCTGTGAGTCCAAAGTCCCGAAATAGGAGCACATCTCCTCGACCGACAATGATGTGTACATCTTCATCCCCCAATCGAGGTCAATACCACCTGGCCGCAGCCTCAGCGGGTCCCTCGCCTGTTCCAGTTCGCGGAACTTTGTATAGCGGACCATTAGGACTGTGGAAAGACTTCTATAGAGTCGCTTCAGGTGAACCGGCTCCTCCCGGAGGACCCTCTCGCGGTATACAGAAACAATGTGATGCACAACCAAAGGAATCCTCAAATCCTCTGCAGTCGGATAACATATCTCCATCCGCCCTCGTCTCTCTAGCTCGGAAAATGTCGATCGGAACCGGTTCCACGCTCCCGACATCTCTTAGAAACGATGATTTGGAAACATCAGACGATCCTACTCATGACGGCGTTTCTTCAGTTGGTTCTGGTGAGTTCTTGGGTCTATTACTGCATGAAATGCAGCGTGTCTCATCATTTTCTTCAGATATGTCGTCGCCTCAAATTGCCGGCCTTACCATTGTAGAGTTCACACCTACCCGCATGATGCTCGAGTTTTCCCCCAAGATCTACTACTCTCGAGACATACCTCATGCGCTACAGGATCTCGTGAATACAATGGAAGTTTCCTATCGCAGGTCACTTGTGGCAAAGGACATGTTTGAGGCGGCCATTTTAGAGAACACTTATGAAGACGAGCCAGATGCCCCGCACATATCTATCATCAACGATGTAGATGATCTGGACGTGACGCCCGCATGGGAGTTCTATTACAGCAATCGTATCTGGCATGGCGATGATGTGCCGCCGCCCGATCTTCCCAATCTTCGTGGGTGTGACTGCGAGGGATACTGCGATCCGAAATCTCAAACGTGCTCTTGCTTGAAGAGGCAGCAAGAGTATAGCGGACATCTCTCAGGCTTCATCTACGATGACAAGGGCCGGCTCAAACAACGGGGCTTCCCCATCTTTGAATGTAATGATCTCTGCGGTTGCCTCGACGGCTGTCGCAATAGAGTATGTCTACGCCAGATTCGTCGAGATATTGTCAGTTGACCCTGCACGAAGGTTGTTCAGCATGGTCGACAATATACTGTCAACCTTCGGAAGACTACGAACAAAGGATGGGGTGTGTTTGTAAATGTCTTCGCTGCTCGGTTCGCTGATCTGTCTTTTAGGGGTCTTTGCAGGGAGGCAAAAGATCCCCAAAGGCTCATTCATCGGTGTTTACGCAGGCGAACTTCTGACTGAAAACGAAGGCGAGCAAAGGGGCATGTAAGCAGCTCGACCTTTGTTGTCGTGTGCTATCTGACTTGTGATAGTAAATATAACAAGTTCGGCAGGACATACCTATTCCAACTTGATTTCTATCACCTTCGCCCGGAAGAGAGTGGCACTGGCGGCGACGAAGGCGACGATGACTGGCAGCCTAAGTATGTCATCGATGCGTATCACGCGGGCAATGTGAGTTCTATCGCTCTGGAATTTAAGCATCTGTTGACTTGAATGCAGTTCACTCGGTTTCTAGTATGTTTGTGATTCTTGAAATAGATGTGCTCTTATTTGTTTGACTAGAATCATAGCTGTGACCCCAACTGTGCCATGAATGCCTGTTATGTCAACGAAGCTAATCTTGACAAACCTCTCTTGGCGTTGTTCACACGACGTGAAGTTCAACCTTGGGAAGAGCTCTGTTTCTCATACACTGGGTATGATTCAGATGAAGAGGTGTGTTGATTCTCCTAGTATGTGCTATGGCCATCTCTGATTCCAGGACAGGATGATGGGGATATACATGTTAACAATGGAGATGCTGTATATGCACCTTGTTTATGTGGGGCTAAAAGGTGTAAAGGATATATGTTCAAGTGAACCACTTGTTGTATATAGGGGCATTATAGAGACTCACTATATTAGTGTGTTTATCAAAATATGTAGCATAATAATCTAAACATTACTAGATTGGGGCCTTTTTTTAATCCATGATAGTGTACCATTCTCTGCTCTCTTTGATCCAAAGACCTCATCAGTAAATAAACTGTTACTAGAAATTACTAGAATTACTTGTTATGAACCACTTTTAACCCAGGACAACCATGACATTGTACAACAACTACCTCTACCCTGGCTGGAATGATCAGATTGTTACTATCACCTCAAGACCTTGTACAGGCACTCTAAACCAACTAGTTACCAACTCACTTGCACAGGGACACATCTCTTGAAGCCAACACAATCAGAAGGATGTCCACAGAATGCATCAGACAGCATTGGGCTCTTACATCCTGGACTGCCTTACCCACAGCTGTGCAGCAGCACCACTGCTATCTGAGTCACAAGCATCCCAGTCACAGGACATGCACAAGTCATGGGGCCAGACATGCCCACAGTCATGAGCCATGCAATTGGTTCAACAAAGGTGACTGTTTACTGATAAATGGACTCAAGTTAAAGTTCCACTCCATACATGATTGACTAGGAGCACAGAATGGAATGTTCACCCATTGTAAGTTAGTAGGATACCAGTCATCACAGATCATCACATCTTCTACACATAATGTAAGCATGTTGATTACACTGAACCTAAACAAGGTGCTATTAATCAACTTCAACAATGTCACAGAAGTTGATTTTCCAATTAGTGTATGCATTAAAATTTCGGATTGGTAACATTGTAATTATATATCAAAAATTCCAACCTTTAGTGTGATCCTTCGATAGCTCAGTTGGAAGAGCGTGGGACTGTAATGGAAACGCTGCGATCCCGAGGTCACTGGTTCGATCCCGGTTCGAAGGAACCTTTTTCTTGAAATCTTCTGACGCGATGACTCACCACCCGACCACAGAGCAAATTATCATCCAGCTGTTGATTTCGTATCTTACTTTTCCCTTTCGCACCACATCAGACTTGTTGAATATTCGATGAGTGATATCCAAACCGTCACACAGGATGGCCTGCCACTGTTCACCTGTCTATCATGTTCAATTGCATATCTCACTGCAGGAGAGCAGCGTACGATCCTGTTGCACTTTCCCCCTCAGATTGATCTGATTATTACCAGGGGATCACTATCGCTCAGACCACCATAGGTATAACATGAAACGTCGCGTCGCGTCACTTCCCCCCGTCAGCGTCGCTGTTTTCAATCAAAAGGCACTCGAGAGGCGGCAGGAGACCGCCGCAGTGTCGTCGCCCAAGGCCTCGACCTGCGAAATCTGCAGGTGGGTGACCTTTTAACTTTACGCTTTGGAAATGACAACTGTCGCCAGCAAAGCGTATACAACTGAGAATGCGTATCGATCGCATATGCTCTCCAGAAAGCACCGTGAGAATGAGGCGAGGTCCCTATCCCAGGTGGACCGCCCACTGGCACGTTCCCGCGGGGTCTGCGGCTGCGAATGCGTCGTCGTCTCTAGAAGAAAGCACTCCTGACACTGCTACTACGAAGGAAGCACCGCCGACCCATTCCACATCTGTGCAGCCCGACGCTGAGAGCCCCGCAAGCTTGGAAGAGAAGACCGACGCTGCGCGGTTACGACTCTCGCCGGTCCATTGCCTCTTCTGCGCGCGCATGTCCTCCTCTTTGGAAGACAATCTCACTCACATGTCGGGCGAGCACTCCTTTTTTATTCCCGACGCGGAGTACCTCGTCGATCTCACGGGGCTCGTTTCCTACCTCGGCGAGAAAATCGCCGTGGGCAACGTGTGCATATACTGCAACGGGAGAGGGCGCGAGTTTCGCACCCTCGATGCCGTGCGCAAACACATGATCGACAAGGGCCACTGCAAGATCGCGTACGACGCCGAGGAGGACATGCTCGAGATTTCCACCTATTACGACTTCTCCTCGTCCTATCCGGACGCGGAGGAGCGGAAAAGGCGGAAGGAGGCGCGGAGGGCGGAGAAGAGGGCCGCCGCAGAGGCGGCGGAGGGCTGGGAAGACGTCGACGGCTCTGGCGGCGAGGTCGACGAGGTGGTCGACGAGCCGCCGCCGCCGTCCTCCTCATCCTCCTCTTCTGCCTCGGATGAAGCCGAAGCTGAAGCCGAAGCCGAAGCCGAAGCCGACGCCGACGCCGACGATTCGTCCGACGCGGACAGCCTTCCCGAAGACCAGAAGATCACCTTCGGCGACTCGCACCTCGAGCTGGTGCTCCCTTCGGGCAACCGCATCGGCCATCGCAGCATGCGACGCTACTACGCGCAGTCCTTCCCCGCCCGCGGCGAGAGGAACGCGTTTGACGACGACCCCAACTCGGGTCGCTCGATCGTGCGCCGCCTCCTGGCCGACAAGCACTCGGCGCTCGTGCCTCGCCGGGGCGGCTTTGGCGCGTTCGGCGCCGGAACCGAAGCCGTCAAGGCGCGGAACCGCGGGGAGGCGCGCGAGGCTGGGCGTCATGTTCGCGAATTTCGCGATCGGAAGCGTAAAGAGGATTACAGAACACGCGTGGCATTCGTGCACAATCACCAGAAGCATTACAGGGACCCATTGCTCCAGGTCGGTGCTCGCGCTGCAAATATTATCATGGCCCTACGAGCTGACACGCATCCACAATCTTCCTCAGTGATGTGACCATAACTCTGCGAACTTAGCGTTGCAGAAGTTCTGCGCTGTTCCTTTGTGACGTTTATAGAGCATATAGTCTGAAAATCTGATGTTCAATTGTAATGTAGTCATTTCCCATGAGAACACAAGCTACAGCAGGACTATGCCAAAGGAGTGTCAGACGCACTACGTGAGGGGTTCAACCGTTCAAAGTGAGTGTGACAACGGACAAGGCGAAAAAGGACAATCTAGGCTGGCTGTACCTGATAGCGAGTTCGAGAATGGGGTATCGTAAAACATAAATCGTGAAGCGGAAATAATTAAAATAAGAGACCAATACTACTCAAAAATGGGAGGACTCAATATACATAGGACGCAGGGATGACGCCTTCTTTCCGTGATCGAACGTCCCGAGCGTACCACCACCTGCGTGGAGTATCTCTGTCAGCGAGTCCGAACAAAGTATAGATTGTTTGAGCACTCACGAAGGGTCGTGATCATCGAGAACTTCAAGCTCCTGACCGACGGCGAGGGAAAGCTCGCCCTCACCTGCACCGTCGAATGAATATCGTGCATGTGCACGGCGTCCGGTCTCATCACCGACAATCCCACCGCCTAAACACATCGGATGGTGTCTCTGCACGCAAGTAGTTGCTTGCATCAGGTCCAATGAGAGGGTCGTGCCCTGCACTTGAGGCACCTGCGTCAGCCTCAGCCGTAACATCCTTCTCTCCGCTGACGTTGTGGACCTTGCTTCCTAGAATTGTCGCGCTCGTTGCGGCATTGATATGGGCGAGGAGGGACGACGGTCGATGCTGCGTCGAGTCATCGTCATCACCTACCTCCGCAGGGTCGAACTTGCTGATGACCTCGTCGCGACGAGAGAAGAGGGTCCAAAGGATACCGAGCAAGACAAGCAGGAAGACGATACCGGCGGCGATGGCGATAGAGATTAGGATAACAACGCCAGTTGCAAGGAAATCTGTCAATGGGGGCGACCTTAATCTCCAGACCAAGAAGCGATTGGCAAGACTTACTATGCTGAGCGAAGCTGAAGTTTGCGAGAGAGTTGAAGATCCCAGCAACAGAACCAGGGCTGCCAGATGTCGATGCCGAGACGATGTAGGGGATAGACGTTTCTCCATCAAACAACATCGATGATACTTGCCCAGACGATGGCACAACAAGACTTCCAGATACCATCAACATTCGATCACCCTTCAATGATACCTTGCGCACTATGTTGATTTTGCAGTGGAACCATTGCGAGCTGGGAGACATTGCTGGTACCCCCAAAGGCAGAGCCTTGCGAAATCCAGACATGGCCATTCCACGCGGCCAAGAAGGATGACGTCCCGTCAACAGAGCTAGTTGACATGAATCTTCCGACCACCTGTAAAGCAAGACAGACACGCACCGTCCGGCTGCAAAGATGCTGCTCCAGTTCCCGTTGTTTACCGTTACAGCAGTGACAGGGCCAGGGAGATCTAGACCATCGCCTACGGTGCTCCAAGTTGCATTATTAAATGTGAATTGCAAAACGTTGTCCGATGACGACCCGGATAGCGTGACAGAACCACCAGCGATCAGCACATTTTGATTACTCTACCCAACTCATCAATATCATGCACGTACACGAAAAGCCGATAACTCACCTCTGCATAAGCCACCGAAGCGATATCGCCTTGAATGCCATTCCCAAGCGCATTCCACTGTTTTCCAACAGCATCCCATGAACAAATCGCGCGACACGGAAGGGAGCCAGCTTGCGCGAATGAGCCTGCAACGATCACTGTGTTCGCTTTCGATGACGACACACTTAACGACCTCACGACGACGGATGCACCGCTTGTGGCCTGAAGCGCTGGCACGCCAGATGACTCCCAAGCGTTGTGCACGAGGTCGTAGATCGCAAAGTTTGCAATGCCAGTACCAGGAATTGTGAACTCCCCGCCGACAAATAGCAAAGTGTCCTGCACGACGAGCGCACGTACTGTGCCGTTGATAGCTTGGCCTTGTAATGGAGTGAGCATGCTCGTAGAAGGGTTATATATTGCAACCCCAGCAGACTCGGTGTTGCCGTTCGTAAAGGTGAAGTTACCCCCAATGATTGCAACCTGCTCCGAGTTGGTCGTATTTGTCCAGAACACACCAGCGAGAACAGCTGGCGCTGGTGCAGGGGGCGAAGGTGGAAGTGGGGCCAAAGTGGTGGTGGACTGACGCGCGAATAACTGGGGAATAGCCACGTAGCGTGATAGCCAAGTGGTCGTGGTGCGGGGATGATAAGAACGGCGGCTATTGGTAGTGGTGGTGAAGGCGGAAACGTCATCTCCAAGCTGCATGCTGAGGGGAGTCACCTCAGGTTGACCGTCATTCCCGTTCTTAAGCAACACGAAGCCGCTCGCACCGAAGCTGAGCGAACTTTGAATATTGCCCGCGAGTATCTGTGACTGTTGTTGGCCCTTTCCTGGTGCCGTGCCATTCCCAATAAATGATAGGGTGCCTCGCAGGAATCCGCCCTCATCAACCCATTCACCGTTGCTGATATTCCATAATGCGAGGCCTGGCGATTCTCTGCCAGCACTTCCGCTGGATGCGCTCTTGATAAGTGTGAAGTTACCAGCGATTGAGACTTGGCCATTGTCTATGTCAAGGCTGTTGACAGGACCGTTCACTCCGGCCAGTAATGGCGACCACTGTCCGTGTGTGACGTCATACGATGCGACACCGGAGAGCTGGCCTTGTGTGGAATTTGCGTCTGTGTCTGTGAATGAACCCCCGAGGAAGAGTGTGCCGCCATATAAAGCGAGCGATGTTACGGGACCGTTAAGCCCCCCTCCGGAAAGTGCTGTCAGAGCGCTATTATTGAACACGACAATGTTGCTGGCGTTGAGAGTGGCGAGGTTGAACGTTCCGCCAATGAAGATAGCGCCAGAGGGGTGATGTACAACCGCCGCGACCGCGGGGCCTGTTGCAGCGGCTATGCCGGCATTTCCACCAAGAGCACTGAACAAAGAGAGACCAACTACGTCTAGGAGGGTTTCAGAAGCGTTTGTGAGGCCCGTGACTGCTCCAGAAGAAAGCGACAATGGCCATTCCAAAAAACCAAATGACGACTTTCCATTGCCAGCGGTCCCATTGCCGTTGAATGCGGTGCCTGTTGTGTTCGCCGAAGTTAAAATCAATTGTATACGGTCTGCGACAAGTCGATATTGGCCATTCTGACCCGAACCCGCAGGGCTATTCGCAAGGG